CCTATGAAAGATTATGGCTTGGGGAGCTGCCAGGCCGATATCTGCAGAACTTGGCAAGGAGTCTCGGAGAGTCACCGACCAATTAAGCTAACTTATGGTCTCCTGCAAACTCAGCTCCTCTTTTGCTCCTCTTTTATTTCCTCTGGGAGGGGCCAGTCATCATCCACTTGTGGCCTTACTTCCAAGTCGACCCCTGTTCTTTAGCTGTTCCCTTCGTCTGGCAACTCTGCGCATGCATACACTGGGAATAGGCTCCAGCTGTTCATCTGCCTCACTGATGTTTGACTCCAAAGGCAGCTGATAACTGGCATACGGCTCTGCCCTCCTCTCTGCCTCCAACACAGAACCCTCATCAGAGCCTTCCCCAAACTCCAAGACTCACCCATGTTCCTCCACAACCTCCTCATTGTCCGAATCAGCTGCCAGCTCTGCTGGCTGCTGTTGGGCCACAACAGGCAGAGCCAAAACTTAGGGTGAGTAGGATGAGCCCACAACTAGGGCTTCCTTCTTTCTAGCTAACCCAGGAGGTGCTGGAGAAGGATCCTGTTCTTGCCAGAGGCCTAAATGGAAGGCAAAGAAAATAAAATAAAGAACCACACAAAACTAAAAGGCATACTTGTTTAGCTTTGCAGAATGGGGCTGCTATGTAGCTCCACTGTTGACATCGATCCTCATGTGTGATCTTCTTAAAGATACATTAGCTCAGTTCCTCTCAGAAACTTCCGATAGGCTGAAACTGTAGACTTCTCTTCACTCTGCAACAGGAGATCCTTCATGAACGTTTAGCCCTTCGTCCCAAGACAGTCAAACACTGCTGGACTACCATTCTCATCCCAAAGAGTTGGACTACAATTCTCAGCAGTCGCTGGTTGGGGATGATGTGAGAGCTCTAACCTAGCTTGTTAGAAAGATACAGAGAGCAGTGTCTCTCAATCTTGGCAACTTTTAAGATATGTGGACTTCAACTCCCAGAATTCCACTGGCTGGGGAGAATTCTGGGAGTTGAAGTTCACGCATCTTAAGGTTGGCCAAGTTAAGGAGCCCTGGGGTAGAGAAAAGAGTTGGCTGGACCAGAGATCTCACTTGGATAAAAGCAAGGCAGTCTTCTACTCTTGCAGTTCTTAGCCTTAAAGGTGTATTTCCCTCTGCTGCTCTCTAAGGGATTATGGGAGCTGAATTCCAACTGGAAAAACCTGGTGTGGGGAAAAGCTGTGCAAAGGTGTTTGTCCCCCCCCCCTTTTTAAAAAAAGGGTCCCTATGCTTTAAAATTCTGAGTTCATTGCACAGATGATTATTAGTTGCAGCAGGATTTTGAATGTGGGTTATATTTTAAAAAAATCTGCATTCCCATTTTTTTAAAATAAAGTTTTCCCCTTTTCCTGCTCTTTTCAGATGTGTCTCTCACTTTGATCCTGCAGCATTTTTTTTCCAAAACGAAAGGGAGTGGGTGGGTATGGATCTTATCAGCTGTACATCTTTGTAACATCCCCCTCCCCTGTGCTTCTTATTTTGCTCCCACCTGATCGCCTTTTCCCCTCAAATTCTCCACCGTCTTTTTCCTTCACTCACTTCCACAGCTATGTTGCAGTTTTGCAAATCTGCAATATAAAATGCCCCCCAAAAAGGTGGGGCAGGGGGAGCAACAACAGAAAGGTGGTACCTCCTTTCAAACCAGCCATCCAGGAGGAAGGACAGGAAGAGGAATTCAGTTTGGAGGGGGGTGGGATTTCTGGCTCTATCTAGGAAGCCAAACTCTGTCATTTTAACCCCTTCAATCTTTGTGATAAACGGGAAAAAAAAGAATGTAAAAGCAGTTCAATTTAAGTGTCAGACTTCAGTTCAGCTTCATTGCTTTCTCGGGGATCTCTAGGCAAAACAATTCTTTTGAGTGGGCTGAAGTCAGGTCCATCTAGCAGCCTGGTTAAACATTTCAATGGTTGTGGGTTCCACCTCGCAGCCAAAAAGGCCAGTAATCAAAGCCTTAGTAAGACCAGACCAGGGGTGGGTTCCTACCAGTTCTAACCTCTTCTATAGAAGAGGTTCAACAAATCTACAGTGCAGTTTAGAACCGGTTCCAGCTCCCTCCCCACCGCCCGTCCGTACATCATCNTGAAGTCCACAAGTTGTAAAGTTGCCAAGATTGGAGACCCCTGCTCTAACTTAGACCTCTCTCCTCTTAGCAGGAAATGAGTGTGGACCATAAACCTTTTTCTTTTCCTGGGTGATTCTGGCTGCCGGAGACTGCAGCTCTCATCAATCATAGAGATACCCTCAGCATCTAAACCAGAGCAGCCATCAACCTTCTTTAGGCCGAACGGCCATTTTGAGAAGCGCACAAGGGCCCTCACTACACAAAATGGGTGGGAATAGAACAAAACCTGTATGTGGCTGATGTATTCAAAATTACTTCAGATTAAAGCACAACCATGGTCGACTTCCCATTAAGTCTGCTCTTCTGTTACAGCAAACATTATAATTGGCAACAATGCCTGGGTGTGTGTGTCCTATAAAGGCCCAGAGTAGGGAAAAACTATTCCGAAGCTCTTGCTTTATATTAGGTCAACCCAATAATCCAATACTTCTTGCTCTGCCTGGCAACAGATCTCCAAAAGTCTTTCCCAATCCGTTAAAAAAGCCAGAATTTGAACCCAAGTGATCTCCCCATTCCCTTCCCACCCGACAAATCCTATTGGAGAGCACGATCCAGTCCTCACACTAACATTATTCCAAGGAGACTGGCAGTTTTCGCGTCCTTGGTCTCTCTCTGGAGAGCTTGGCTGGCATCCCTCTCTTTGTCTTACTAAGAAGTCCTCGGCTAGGGCCACCGCCTCAGAACAGGTCTCAGGGCTGCTTTCCTGGACCCAGCTCTGGATCTCCACAGGCAGGATGCTCACAAACTGCTCCAGAACCAGCATCTCCAGGATCTGCTCCTTGGTATGTTCCTCTGGTTTCAACCATTGGTGGCAGAGTTCCCAGAGTTGGCTAGCGGCCTCTTGAGGGCCCTCAGCCTGCTGATAGCAGAACCGTCTGAACCGTTGGCGCTGCCTCTCCGAATCAAGGATGTCCTCCAGCATCTCCTCCTTCAGCTTCACAGGAAAGTTAGAGTTTGCACAGTTAGTTTGAGTAGCATATTCTTTTCTAGGCCACCGATACCCTTCCTCTACTCCTTCTAAGGAGGACGGGCGTTCTTGACTGCCAGGCATTGATATTCGATTCTTCCATCTTGGATAAGGAAATGGCGGGCAGCTCAAGAAATTTGGCAACTGGCCTTCCCAGCCCTGTTGGAACCCATCTGCTCGCTTCTGTTTCAGAAATGATGGTGTTGCCTTAGCCACAAACTTCACGCTGGTCTCTACACAAGTGGCATCGCAGCCTCTTCCTACCTCTTCCCATCTCTTCTCAGGTTCTCTGGAACTTGCCTGGTCTTCTTCCTCCATTTTTTTTTTTAAATCCCTCTAGGAGAAAAATATACACACACACAGGGTTAATAACCAAAATGCAGCACAATTTTGCAACTATGCTCCACCAGCCCATTGGAGTGGATTAAGAACTTTATTTTTCTTGTCTCCGTTAACATTTTCTCAAAATTCATTAGGAAAGTTAAGTACTAGTTGAAAGGTAGTGTTCTGACTTAGGCTTCCCAAGAGCATGAAGCAAACTCCTGGTCCTGACAAAAATCCCTTTTATTAATTCACTGTGAATTCTGCTCATTCACACCCAGCAAAGTCTTTCCAGGGAGGATTTACAGTCACAGACCTTATCCGGCTTGGAGAGCTGCCAGGCCAATATTTGCAAAACTTGACAAGGAGACTTGTAGAATCACAAACCAATTAAGTGAACTAATTGTCTCCTGCAAACTCAGCTCCTCTTTTGCTCCTCTTTTATTTCCTCTGGGAGGGGCCAGTCATCATCCACTTGTGGCCTTACTTCCAAGTCGACCCCTGTTCTTTAGCTGTTCCCGTCGTCTAGCAACTAGCAAGTCCAGAATGCGGCCGCGCGAGCGATTGTGGGTGCACCTCGCTTCACCCACGTAACACCTATCCA